CGCTCGGCCAGAGCACAGCTGGACAGGAGAGAACCCAGGCTGTGGAGTGGCTACAGGGCAGCCTGCAAGCAGAAGGGTGAGAGCCGAAGTGGGGGGGCAGGCAGGAGCCGGATCCTGAAGCACCATGTCAAGGGCTGGGTTCTGTCCTGAGAGCAGTGGGGCTGTTGGAGTCATTCACCAGGGAGTGACAGGACCAAACCTGTGTTTTGGAAAGACCACTCTGGCTGCAGCATGGACTCTGGATGGGAGGGGTTGTACTGTGGGTCTGGTGATGCAGGCCTGGAGTGATGGCGGCCTGAAAGGAGGCGTGGGGTGGGGGTGGAAAGGAGAGGACCGTCCAGAGGAGGCAGAAGCAAAGGCGTTTCCAGACTCCCTGCATACAGGCACGAGGACAACCACAGGCTTTGACTCCGGACTCCTGCCTGGATTCATGGTGTCATTTCTGAGACAGAGACACAGGGAGAGCAGCTCTGTGGCAAGATGATTTCGGTTTGGACATTTTGTGTCTCTGGGCTAACCACGTGTGGGCAAACAGCGTTATCATGCATCCCCAGCTTCTTCTAGAATGTTTATTGAGGGAGCAGTGTGCCCTGGCACGTCAGAGGCTGGCGCAGGGAGAGGTGAGATCTGTGCTGGGTGCCGGGGCTGGGGGGAGCAGTCCTGCATCCCCCAGCCAGGAAGGTGACTCATCCCACTCCCTTTTAGGGACGGGGACATGGCATTCCCATTAAGCAGCTTGACCAGTGGCTGCCAGCCCTGTGAACAAACTTGGGCTTCTTCCATCTCCTCTGCACTGGGGAGAGGCCCCTGCTTTCTGCCCCTTCACCAGCTTCTCTCTCTGCTGAACTCCCCGGACCTGGGGCTTGTGTCGGCAGGAGTAACTGTTTTGATGTCAAGTGGGTATAGTGTCATGTACGGTCAAACCCACGATCTCATTCAATCCTCCTCGATGCCCGATGATGGTGGTACTGTCATCACATTTTCAAGATGATGAAAGGAAGGCTCAGAGAGGTCAGAAGACTTGCCCCAGTCACACAGCTGTTCACTCTGTCTCAAAGTATCTTTACCAGATCTTGTCTTTGCCACTTGTGGAGGCCAGGGCAGCTGCTGTCCAAGCAGAAGGTGGCATGAGGACAGACAGAATTCTGCAGGGTGGAGGTCCAGGGGCAAAACCCACTGGGAGGGGCTACACACACCCCACCGCATGACTCCCCAGCCCTGAGAATCCTTGTGGTCCCTCACCCTGGGCCTGTGAAATCTAAAGTCAAAAGAGACAAGCCTCTTCACTTCTGGTCAACTTGGACTTTGCTTTTCGGTCCAGAAGCAAGAGGGAGCAGGTGCATCCTGGCTTCTCTCTCCCTGACATGCAGGTGAAAATATAATAGCCTTTCTGCAGCTCACCACTAGGCCTAGTGTCTGGGGCTTTAGAGGGTCTCTGGCCACCCTCCTGGCCACCAAAAATCCTTTGTGGAAGAAGGTAGGGGCTAGAAAGAATGACATCAACAGCCTGCACCTCTGCTGTGACACACAGCTGGGCTCATGTGGTACCAGTGCAGTGACACTGGACTTCGACGGCTCACGAGGTCTGATGCTGGCCACCAGCTCCGCCCATGGGTTAGCTCAGGGGTTCCGACGCAACAAGACCAACGGCTCAGGTATTTTATAACAGGATTCAAGTGGAACTAAATCTTTGTTCCCCTCTTATCACTTTGTACACATAAAATCTATTTTAATCAGCTTTCAATATATAATCTAAAAAAAAAAAAAAAAAAGAAAAGAAATCCTACAGATTCCTCCCACCCCCAAACTGTTCTTGGAGAAAGAAAGGTTTATCTTGTAAGTTTCTTAAGAAAAATCTGTGTGTGCTCATTGCATTGAAATAACACTCATTACAGTGAGCTGCATGCAAGCCCAGCTTCTCTAGTCAAAGGTGAGAGACAATTGCTTGACCTATTGCAAATCAAAAAGCATTTCCACACCACCTTTATTTTTCAACTGGTTAAGTTTTAAATGAAAGCCCCAGCACCCTTTCTTGGTAAGGCAGACTAACAGAGCCCCAACTGAAATTTCAGCTCAGTCGATGGGAAGATAATTACAAGAAACAAAATGTGAAGTTTAAAATCAGGGCACTAATGAAGTCTAAAAATACCAGTGGCCCCATCCTTCTGGCTGGCTAGACCTTTTCTTCATGGAGGGGATCTCTTCATAATTACTCAGCCCCGCGAGAGGCCAGGTTGTCATGTCAAACAATAGTACGAAAAATCACGGGACTTTAATGAGCTAGATCTCAAGGAGTTCTATGGTGGATCTTATTATAATGCTGGGCAAGCTTTCAAACAGAGAACAGGAGAAAAGGAAAGTTCTTTTTCTTTTTTTTTTTTCTTAAGTAGATTTCTGACTAGTGTTGATGCTGTCACGCAGGGCCTCCAGGTTCCCCCTCGGAGCCAGCTGCCTGTCATTTCGGAGTGTGAAATCAATTGGGCTTCGGAGATGTAAAATCCCTAGGGGCAAAATTAAAAGTGACCCAAATCCAAACCCACGTGGTCTTGTCAGGAAGATGAGTCTCACATAGCAAGTTTCAAAGGTTTGGTTTCAAAATTCAGGTTTCTTATTTTAAAAAATATGCAGTTGTTTGACATTAGATCTGACAGACAAATTATAGCTTTAGCAATAAAGGCTTTTAAGATTAGAAATGAAAGGAGAAATTACCTAAAAAAAAAAAAAAAGACAAAACCCACCCAGGCTTGAGTTGGGAGGCATTTGTGTGTGCATGCTTCATTGTCTTTCTTCACCGCAAATATAAGGGGATAAATCAGCTGATGGGGTCCATAAGTAGAGAAGCAAGTTCAATGTAATTTCTGGGGAAACAACCAGCTCACCGGAAACCTACGAAACTCAGCATGATGGGTGGGTCACTGGGTCACCGGCTGGAACTGGGGGAATCTAGCTAGGTCACCGGAAGGCGGGCCTGTGAACACTTTCTAGGCCCACACCATCCCTGGCCCTCATCTGGTGCTGAATATACACCATAGGGGCTGGAAGAGCACACCCCACCAGGGGCCCCCTCTTTACTCCCCTCCTGTGCGTGGGCTCAGGCCTGCGATAGAGGATGGTTCACGCCGTCTGATGATGTTACAGGTGTGGCTCTGTAAGGGCCTGCAGGGGTGCAGCAGGGACCTGCCTCTACCACCTATATCTTCTTGATCTTAGGGACTCAGATGCTTAACAGCGATCAGATGTGCCGATGCCTGGCAGCTTCCAGGAGGTGGATCCCAGCTCCGTGCTAAGCCCTAAACCAGGGAGCAGCCCCGGCTGGGCCAGTTACCTTTTTACACAGAACAACTCCTTTTCCTAGGTGCATGCCTGACATTGACAAGTAAGCAAGACCTTTGCTCAGTCCTAGGAGGCCCCCTGGGATGCGGCAGTGGGATGGGGTGGGGAGAGGGAAGCCCACCTAGTGCCTCAGGCTTTGGCACAGCCTTAGGAGCAGCCGGGACATCTAGTGCCCAGTGTGTCAGAGTTGGTGGCATATAAACTGGGAGTGAGTTTTTGTTTAAAGGGGGAGGGAGCTTAACCAAAACACTTCAAACAAACAAACAAAAAATCAATTTAGTAAATTTTTTTTTAAAAAAGATCTTAAAGCAAGAGTTTACCAAAATGTAGATGTAATTTTCTATAATTTTGTCATTTAAAACTAGTGTTGATTTCCCAAACAAAGGCAGTCAGGGGCACAATCAGATTGGGAATTAAACCCATCAGAGATCTAGACATGGCTTTGGTGGTGTTGGGACGCTTGACAAGGCCTGGAAGTTGCTGGAAGGGATAAAGATAGAGAGCAGGCTGGACAAGCATGGCTGGTTGGAGTCCTTGCTCTGCTAAGACTCTGCTTTGCAGGTGTCCCCACCCCCCAACTCTGCCATCTCAAGTGGTTGTAAGTAGGGAGGCTGAGAAGTCATGCCTGAGATCCACACCTCCTAGACCATCTACTCCCCTTTCAAAGGAGGCCTGGATGCCCAGCAGGGCAGACCACCTGTTAAGTATCCTCTTGCCCGCACCCAGATCCAGGGCTTGCTGGCCCTCCTCTCCATTCAGCGGGAGGAGAGGCCCGGCTGACTGGACCTGGAGGGGATAGACAAGCCTGGGGCAGTTAAGCCCCACCAGCCTCAGCCTCCCACTCCCTTTCTCATCCCAGCTGGCCAGATCCCTTAGACAGTCGTCAGGAGTGAGGCTGGTTTGCTGGAGCCCTTTGCACTGACCCTCCGGCCGGCGCCCAACCTAAAACCACATCCTGGTGTCCTCCTTCCCCTGGCTCTGTTCTTGAGGATCTGCCTTGGAGCTCCCCTGAATGAAAACTGCCCTGGGCTCGGGGAAGGGGGGTTAAACGAAGGCCAAGGCCGGAGGTGCTCTTTCTTGGGGCCTCATAGAGCCACCCATGGGACCTCACAGAACCAACACTCAGCTGGCTCAGGATGGTCTGGGCGTGGCTCCTGGGCCTTACCTCATGCCCCTGAGCTACTCTCACCCCACGGCACGGCAGTAGATGTTTTCCGGAGTGGGGACGGGGAACACAGACAGCTCATGTTCTGACTGTCCTCGTGAGTGGAAATGGAGAAGGCCCCCAAAGGGACTGTTCTAAGGGAGCCCTAAGAGGAGCAGAGGATGCCTGCTCATTCTGCACGTGGCCTGGCCTTGGGTCGGAGGGGAGAATGGCCCAGGGCTCGGGCTGAAGGCGGAAGGCCCTGGACTTTGCAGGCTCTCCCCTCCCCTCCGCTTCCTACGCACTCACGTTTCCCCGCCTTCCTTGTCCTGCCCTCCACCTTCCCCTCTGCCTCCTTGGGCTGAGGCCAGGCTGCCTTTGGCAGGGAGCCTGGATTGAAACCAGTGAGAGGCTGCTGGGGAGCACGGAAGCCAGGAACCAGACTCCTGTCTGCGCTGTGGTAGTGACCGTACAGGGAAGCACAGATGCGGGCACGCAGGAGCGTGTGGGCAGCAGGACTTACCTTTGGGGTGCCCGGGATCGGTGAACTCATACTTCCCCACGCCGATTGTCCGTAGCATCTGCAGCCCGTGGGCCGAGTCTGATGTGGGGGGCCCATTGGTGGTAGGGGCACCGCTGGGGAGAGTGGCAGACGGCTGGGCCGGCGGCGGTGGAGGCAGCAGGGGCCCTGCCATGTGGCCATTGCCCACAGTGGTGGGTCCTGGGCGGGCCACCTGCCCGACGCCGGGCAGCGTGGAAACAGCCAGGGGCTGCGGGCTGGCGTACAGGGCCTGGGCGGGCATGTTGACCACCACGCTGCTCAGCGGCTGAGAGGGCGGCTGTGGGAGTGAGTAGTGGCCTGGCATCAGCGGGAGCTGGGGCCCCACGTGGGGAGGCAGTGAAGGGGTCACCCCAATGACCGGCGCCTGGACGTTCACAGCCGGGCTGAAGGTGGGAGGCTGGGCCACTCCGTAGGAGTGTGCGATCAGGGCAGACTGGCTCCCGGCGGCCACTGTGGTCACCCACGGCCCTGTGCCTGCAAGGGAGATGGAAGAAATGTCACCCACCGGTTACATCTTCACTCAACAAACACCGACTGCCCCGGCCCTGGGCCGAGTGCCGGCGTCACAGAGGTGAACAAGAGGCCTGTGTCCGGGAGCTCATGGACTAAGAATCTGTGGTTACAGTGGCACAAAATAAGTGCTTTAGGAGTAGATAAACATGGCTTTGGGGTCTCAGAGGGGGGACCATAACCTGCCAGGGAGAGGCTGAGAAGAAGCAAAGTAGAGAGGAGAAAGTAGAGACCTTCCAAGAGACCTGGATTCACATCTTAGCTCTGCCACTTACTACCTAAGAGCCCTAGGCAGGTCGCTTATCATCTTTGAGACTCATTCTTTCTTTCTGTCAAATGGAACTAGCAACACCCACCTCATAGGTCTCCCGGGAAGAACTGAATGATGAAGATGTATTTGACAAAAACTCCCCAAATTAGCAGAATGTCTGGCATGCGTTACATGTTCCATAGATGTGGGTGTTTTTCCTTCCTTTCTGGAGAATCACTGTCTGAGAAAGGTGGGGAGAAATCTGGATTGTGAAGATAGTAGGTGTTTGCTGGGCAAAAGGAGAGGGCCAGAGCCTGGAGCCCTGCAAAGGTTCTGTGGCACAGGAAGGGAGAGCCAGGGGTGGGGGCAGTGGGGGCGGCTGGCGGGAGCTGCTCTCACGGCCTTGCTGGGAGGCCAGGGTTTGTCCTAAGCAACCTCTGCATGGCTAGCCCTGGTGGAAACAAGAGAAGTCCATTTTGGCTGAACAAAGGGGTCAGTCACACCTCCTGAGACCCCAGTTTAAGATGCAAAGCCAGCTGTGCCCAGATCAGGCAGAGCAGGGCCCTCTGAGCTCAGCTGACATGGAGGTGACCCAAGTGGGCTTGTGAGTGAAGCTGGAAGATGCTGTGACTGGGAAGGTCAATCTGGGTCACCTCTGATGAATAAGTCTGGGTCTAGGACTCTGTCTTCTGAAGGCCACCTTGGTTGTCATGATGCCTGGAGTGGTGGCATAGTCCGAGGAAGGAGAGTGGGAACCACAGGGTACTCAGGGCCACCAGCTCCAGAGGCTAGAAGGTGGGGCTTGGAGCTCTCTCACAGAAGTACAATTTCGAGGCAGGGCAGGAGCCAGGATGGTGGGGTGACTCCCTAACCACCAGTGGGTACTGTCTCTGAGGAGTTGTCCAAAGGGGGAGCCACTTGGCATGGTGGTGGAGAGCCAGGCTGGGCTTGGCATATTAGTCCCGGGTCTGCCCTCACTAGCTGAGTGACCTTAGAGCAAAGCCTTCCCCGAGTAGTTTCCTCATCTGCAGGGGGACAACAATGCCAACTTCGTAGTGTTGCTGTGAGCAGTGAGATGACACACAGAACAAGGCACATAATAGCTGTGCAACAAATAGTTTTGATTTCGATTATGAGAGAGGCTGGAGCAAACTAGAGGCCTACAAATGTCAGTGAAGCAGTGCCAGCAAAATTATAGAACTGGCTGCTAAGGGGGGTTGTCCCCAAGCCTGAAGAATAGGAGGTGGCACCAGTGTGAGCTGGCCTGGTGTCTTAAGCACAAGGCACGCCATCTGAAGCTCAGTCCTCTGCAGGACCGGCCGGGGAGCCTGGAAGGATGCATTCGAACTTCAGAGTACAGCTGGCGAGCTCTCAGATAACTCTGAGGTGAACATATAGAGAGCTAGGGCCACAGAGGTGATTGCTTCGTGAGCCAGGGAATGGCCCAGAGGATAAAGGAGACATAAAGGGAGGTCTCTAGTGATATGCTCACCATTTTCTATCAATGATTTGGATGACAATATGGAAGACGTATGACCAAGTCTGCAGGAGACATCATATTGGGAAGGTTGGGTAAAGGTCAGTAATAAAAGCAGGCATCTAAAAGATGCTGAGTCATACAGGAAGATATTGACAAGGTCTTGCCCTTGGGTCCCCACACCCAGCTGCTTAAGCCAGATTGTGAGGAGATGGACAGGGGTCAGAGTAGCCACCTTGACCGTCTTGGGGTCTTACTGTTGAGACAGCATGCGATGTGGCTACCAGCAGAGCTGAAGTGATGTGAGGCTGCAATGATCAAGGTAGAGGGGCTGAATGAAGGAGGTGCTACAGACCACTCGTGGGTTCTTTGTTTTGGGTTCCGGGCACTGAAGGATGCAGAAAGAGGAACAATTCCCAAGAAGGTAAAGGGACTGGAAGCCATGGGCTTGAGGGTATGGCTGAAGTCTTGGGGTGTTTGTCCTGCAGAAGACTTGGAGGGGGGATGAGCAGGGGTCTTCAGATATCTGTAGGGCAATGGTGTGGATGGCCAAGCCCACGTGTTCTATGTATCCCAATGGGAGGTCTGGGATCCAAGGGAGATAGCAGGGAAGGTTTTTGTTATGGTCAGAGCCGTGTAAGAAGGCCTCCGGTGCTGTAGAAGGTGGTAAACCCCCAGTCCCCGGGGCGGGGGAGCTTCTCAGTTCTCATGTAACTGTTGGCAAGGCAAGACCTCACTGGAATGGGTGATTTTGGAAATTTATGAATCAGAGTACTGAGGTTTCGGAATGACTAACTATTCAAAATAACTCGAAGCAGATTCAGTCACTCCTATAACGTCACTCTCACTCCCTTGTCCTTCCCAATATTTTCTTGAGAAAGGGGTGGAGACACAGCTACTGCCCAGGGAATTACACACAGTCACGCCCAGTGCCCCACCCCCATCCCCCTGCCCCCAGTGCAACCTGAGTTCTGGGCTGCTGCAGACCGTGGGTCAGGACCTGCTGAGGAGCTGGGGCACCCAGGAGGTCTCAGACACTTCTCGCCCTCCCCTCCAGCTCCCAGTGTAGGTGGCTCTGTCTGCCCTGGAGTACACACCTGGATTGTCGCTCTCCCTCATCTGTTTGGAGGGCGGTTCATCGGTGTCCCAAGGCGTGGACTGATTGATGGGCGTCTGGCCCCACCGGATGCTGGTCGTGAGTCCTTGGGACTGATTGTCTGCTTTGGAGATGCCGGGGGCCTGGGGAGAAGCAGAGCAGGAGGGTGAGCACAGCCTGGCAACGGTCCTGCCCTGGCGCCCATCCCCCGCAGTACTCCTGCTGCCTGAGCCACGGGGCCAGAGGCAGAGACCTGGCCCTGCACCCAGTACCACGGGAGAATCGCAGAGCGTTTTGGTGCAGTAGCAGCAGCCGTGGCCTCGGCTAGACTCCCGCCTCCAGGGACACCCAACCTAACCCAGTGCCTCCTCCACCACCCACTCTACCTGAGCCATCAAAACGGAACGAGCGCTTTGTGCTATGAGAAATGACATCACCCCAGTCCTTGGGTCATTAATAAGCTGCAACAATATGCGCGGGCATGTGCTGAGCACCAACTGTATACTCAGCCCAGGCCCAGTACCACCATGTGCCCAGCCCTTTGACATGAGAGACGACGGCTCTCCAAAGCATTACCGTCGGGCCCCATCCTGCTTCCACACCAGCCTCTGAGGCCCCAGACTTCCCACTCCACAGAGGAGACGTGGGAGGGGGTGGACTGGGGCCCCTGGGAGGACAGCGCAGGTCCTGCTGCAGGGCTGGAAGGCAGGGAGCATCTTCACTGGGACCTTCGGCTCCGCCCTGCAGGAAGCAGGCAGGCTCTCTGCTCCAGGATCTCACTTGCTAGTTTAGATACTCAATGAGAAAACAAACCTCAGGGCGAAAACAAACATTAGGACAGCACTGGTCTCCCTGAGCTACCATCTTACCATGGAATATTATGTAGGCAATAAAAATCATGTTTACTGGGCTTCCCTGGTGGCACAGTGGTTAAGAATCCGCCTGCCAATGCAGGCAACACGGGTTCGAGCCCTGGTCTGGGAAGATCCCACATCATGCGGAGCAACTAAGCCCGTGTGCCACAACTACTGAGCCTGTGCGCCTAGAGCCCATGAGCCACAACTACTGAGCCTGTGTGCCTAGAGCCCGTGCTCTGCAACAAGGGAAGCCACTGCAATGAGAAGCCCGCGCACCGCAAAGAAGAGTAACCCCTGCTCACCGCAACTAGAGAAAAACCTGCGTGCAGCAACGAAGACCCAATGCAGCCAAAAGTAAAATAAATAAATTTTAAAAAAAAGTCTTTGGAGATTAAGACTTGTTTAAAGAAAAAAATCATGTTTACTAAGAATTCCTAATGAGGTGGCAAAATGCTTACGCTATAATGTTAAATGAGAAAAGCGGGACATAAAATGACACGCATATAAACTTATCATGTAAAATGATATGTGCAGAAAGGAAAAATCCCAAAATATTAGCAGGAATGTCATTCTTGGGTGAAGGGATTAAGGGAAACTTTTATTCTTTTTGTCTATACTTCTCTGTATTTGCCAAATTTTCTACTGTGGCCATTACCATTATTTATAACATTATAATATTTATAATAAGCAAAAAAAAAAAAAATCCCCAAAACACATTGGAGGGCCTGGTACTGGGATAACTGGGATGTGAGTCTCAAGAGAGATGGTTCCAGGAGCAGTGACCACAGCTTGCAGGAGTGTAGCCAGAACCCAGCCAGGTTTGGGGACGGTCATAGAAGGGCAGAGGAGCCTCCAGGGTCATCTGCAGGCCTCTCTCAGGTGAGGCCACTGTGCTCTTGCCTCCTATTGGAAGCTAAGTCAGTGACCCAGCTTGTGGTGGGCAGCGCCCCTTTCTGGGCATCTCTGAGCAGCGGGACTCTCCTTACCAGGCTGGCTGAAGAGTACTGGCAGGTGGGAAGGGGTTTGGACTTACTGGGGCTTTGATGCCTTACGCAGATGACAAACAGTGCCTGCATCAGGGCCTGCTGGGAGAAGCGGGAGCGCATCCTATTAGCACCATAAGCTGTGCTGAGCTAATTGCATTAGGCTGTACTTTATCTCCGGCCTGCATTTCAGATGCTTCACTTCTGTGAACAGCGCAGGAAACAAAGGAAAAGAGTGAATCTCCTGAGGAAAGAACAATTCTGCGGACAAGCTTCCTTGTCAGAGGCCTCTGCCCCACTTCTGTCTGTGGGACAGATGAGACAGGGTAGGCGGGGAGGTTGGGGATCTAGCCACACTCACCAATAGTCTTAGGGAACTTAGGAAAGAGAAGCGTGGCTTGTACAGCGTTCTCTAAACAGACAGCTTTCCAGGGTGCCCTGCCTGCAGCCCCCTCTGTATTCCCAGGCTCTTGGGGAGCTGGTGGGTCAGAGGTGCAGAGGTTGCTTTTCCCACAATAAGAGGCATCCGGGGGGAAAGAAGCCAGTGTGCTGTCCCATTTGGGGCCCTGTTTTGGGGTGAAGTTTGAATGGGGAGACCCCGGTCTCCTTACCCCTTCTGCCAGTAGGGGGTGCTGCAGCCCCCTCTCTGCGGCCTGGAATTCCCAGAGGCCTCCCAGGCCAGAGGCAGGTTTGGTTTTCCGGGTCCTCCTGCAGTTGCCCTTTGTCCTGGCTGAATCAGCACCCAGGCCTGGTAACCTGACAGGGTAGGGAAGGGCTCCGGGAACTTGGAGGCCCTGGGCCTGGTCCTTAGAGCAGCCGCTGCGGCCAGAAGGGGTGGTCGGGGTCTCCTGCTTGAGAGCAGGTAATCAGACTCTAAAACTTCAGGCGTTCGGGGTTTTGCCCTAAAATTGGGAGAGTTTCTGAACTTGAAAAACTGTACACTTTTCCTCAGGCCCTTGATTCTAAAACACTCCTGCCAGCTCGCTCACTTGCGCCTTTGCTGGTCAGGGGGTTTGCTCTTCAGTAAACTGGGCCCCTGCTCTGTGGCCGGCCCTGCCCAAACTGGGCCCCCTGGGCTGGGGACGGGCAGTCACTGAGACTCAGCCCTGCCCTCGAGGGGCTGCTCCCAGCTATGAGTCACACTCCAGAAGGAAGCTGGGGGTGCAGGGGGTCCAGGGGGTACTGGGGTGGGCCCAGGGCTCCGGGGTGATTGAGCTGTGGCTACAATAGGCCTGCTGTCTGCCTGTGTCTTTCATGACTATGACAAGCGAGTTCTTACGTACAAGAAAGAGGTTCTGCTGTGAGAAGGAAAGCAGCCTTTTTTGTTTGTTTTTTCTTTAGGAAAGATAAATAAGGACACTCATTCTATTTGGCACTAGCAACTTCTGAAGCTATGAGCAACTTGCGGTTCAGGACTTTTTATTCATTTTATTGAAAAAAAGAAATGAACATTCCTTCCTTCACTCCCTCCAGAAAAAACATGGACACGGGTTGTGCGCTTCGCCAAGGCGCCTGGATGCCCAGGTGGTGAGGAATGTTGCAGCTGGTGATGTGAGTCAGCTCGGCCTGACCAGAGCCCTGTCCTCCTGCAAACGGGTTCCAGGCCCAAGGTAAACTCGAGGTTCCCAGGTTCTGGAGGCTTCTAGGGGACCGTGTGTGGGTTTGCGCCTCCAGCTTCGAACTTGGCTCCTACTAAGACTTTCCGCCTTGGTTCAGAGTCCCCAGAGGTCCACAATTCCACCAAAGGCTCTCCAGGCCACCCCCCCTTTCAGGGGGCTGCCAACTCAAGAATGTACAGACACCAACCAGGAGGACAGCCTGGGCCGGCGGGGAGGAGGGCGGGGCTGAGGGAGCCTCCCCTCGCCCCTCCCACTGCCATCACAGAGGATATCACTGAAGCCACGAAGACATCTGGCCTTTCCCCAGTGTTCCTGGCCTTGCTTCTTCTCCAGTGACATGATGGCACTCAGCACAGAGAGGCAGCCGAAGAGAGCCCTCTTCCTGCCCGGTGCCTCCGAGTGGCCCTATCTGCCCATCATCGGCCCAAGCAGGCTTCTCTCTGCTTCCCTTTAATGAGATGCTAATGGGATGCATCATTAACGCAGCAGCTTTTAAACCCCAAGCTCTTGTAAATTTTCAAAGGTCACATTTTTACGGTGGCTGACAGCATCCTGCTTCTTTCAACGGCTGAAGAACACTAAGGACCCCGATCCTTTATGGATGAAGCTCTCTGTGAGGGGCGCCATGGGCTGAAGCGCCTGCTGGTCGGGGGGCTGGGAAGCTCCACCTGCGACAAGCCCCCCGAGGCCCCTGGGTTGTGCTCTGTCAGCATGGGGAGAGCCAGTTACACGTCGCCTACAGAGCGGCACTGGGGACCCTGCTCCACTTAGGGGTTGACGTGCGGGGCCGCAGGTGGTGCACGGTGCGAAGATGCCTGTGTACCCGTGGAGCTGTGACAGCCCGGAAGGGCTGATTTTGCTAATTTGTCCATCCAAAGGGAGCCCTTTTTTCTACTTTGCACAAGGGTGCCATATAGGCCAGCAGCATCCCAGGTGGTCAGGGAAATTTGAAAGATGATGGGATGGGACTCCCCGGGGCCTTGCCATGCCTCGCTTGTTCTCACCCCTCGCCCTGCACACATCAGGATCACAGCCTCGGAACACTGCCTTTCAGGGCTGGTACTGACCTGTACTGGTGGGTGGGCTCCATGATGGCAGGGACCCGCGTGGCAGGACCTGACCCAGCTCCTGCCGGCCTGGTGTAGGTGCCCAGGGAAGGCAAGGTCTCTGAGTTACAGTGTTGGCCAACAGTAGGAGTGTTCATCACTGTTGGTTCACGAGTGCATGAATGCATGGCCTACACTTCAGGAGAGGGAATGATGGGAGTAAGAGAACAGAGATGTGGGATCGCGTAGTGCACCTGGGAAGCCTGATACAATGTGTTCCTCTCACTGGGGAGATGACGTTTCCAGACCGTGGAGGCCTCGTGTGCCGGGACCCCCAACATCATTGCCCTGAATGCTGCTGGAGGCTGCCTGGAGGCCTAATGCCCCAATCCGCTGACCCCTCGCCCAGTGCCTGAGCATAGTCGGAGATGTGGGATGCTGAGGTTGACTCCTGCCTCGATGGGGCTGGTGGAAAAACCAGAACTCAGCTTCTTCCACTGTTCACCCAAAGATGTCAGAAAAGAGTGACTCAATGGAGCCTGGAAGTTAGGGAGAGCTGACGTTGGACCACAAAAGCTGGGCAGGGTTCAACAAGGTGGATGATTCTGGCCAAGGTCGCCACCAAAGGACCCCACAGCAGCTGGTGCATTTGCAGCCTAGATACAGTGGACAGAGCCAGGCTCCAGGGTCCACTTCCGGGGCTCATGTGGGCCTCTCTCGGGGGAATGACAGTGCCAGTGTCCGAGTCCTTCTCCTGCCCATGAACCTGCCTCCACAGATTGGAACCTGCAAGTCTTGACACTCTTGTCACTCATGTGGTGTGACAGTGTTAGCGGGGACTGCCATCTGCTGAGCATTCCTGAGTACAGCTGCCCCTATCCCTCACAGCAGTGAGCCCCTTCTCCCAAGGGAGCCCAGAGTCCCCCCCCCCCCCCCCCCCCCCCCCCCCCCCCCCCCCCCTCGCCCCGGGGGCCCCCAAGCCCCCCCCCCCCCCCCCAGCCCTCACCTCGCTTTAATCGATCAGACAATACTCCCATGCTCACTCTGGGCCAGAAGTACCACTGGACACCAAGGCACACCCCAGCCAGG